TTTATATAAAGCTATCTAACCTCTTGTCTTTGAGGGAAAAGCGTCTGTTTAGCGTGCTCTTCAATGAACAATAAGTAGATGTGTTCTGTAAATACAGCAACCAGGTTTTCCTTCGTTGTTGAGGATGCTCTGGATTTCTGCTGAATAGTTGTTTTTGTACTCAGAGCTATTCAGGGATCTGTTGATGCCTGCTTTCTGTGGTTTTGAATAAACAAAAATGGCAAGATGTACAGTGATTTCTGCTTAATGTAGGATTTCATCCTGAAAATATAGTCTGTGGCACCTTTGCTTGCAAAAGTAATTCCAGTGGAAAAGTAGTCTTGAAAGCTATATGGTACCTTTTGCTTTGAGCAGTCCTTTGTCCCTAGAGGTGATAGCAATTTTCCCCTCGATTTTTTTTTAATTGCAATTTGTGTTTTCAGTTCTGAATGGTTTTGCAGAAAATGTGGGGTTTTTTCCTGACTTCAGCTGTCCTGTGAAATGAGGGATAACAAGGCTCAGTGACCTATTCCACGGGAACATGAGTTTTGTTCAAGCCACAGGCTCTTCTCCCTGCACTTCCCCTCTTAAAACTTCAAATGAGTAGAACTGGCTTTCCCCTGAAACTGAAGCACTATCAAATTCCTGGTTGTCTGTAGAATAAGATCTAATAGCTGTTTGACTCACAGCTCTGATGTGCAGAGTATTAACTTGTTATGCTGATGAGCCAGTCACAGATTAAAAGCACGTTTACATATAAAGAGTTTGTACGTTAAAGAGTGCCAGATGAGGAAATGCATTTATTTAAACAAAAGCACTTCTGCTGAGGGGGAGAAATAATGGGGTTTTATTAATCTTGGTAAATGCTGTGTAGAATATCTCCCTTTCGGAGTACTGACCTTTGTATCTTTTTGTTTCTTGCAGCATAGTGCTAACTTGTAAAATGGCAGATGGGAGCTGGGGACAAACGTGTGTCTCTTGAGTGTATTGTCTTAGTATTGATCACTGAGCTCGGACTGTACATTTCTAATACCACTTTTTTCATTTGAATCCTTCTGAAGCTATAAGCTGAAAATCTCAATGCTTTCTTCCATTCTGAGGTCTTTAGATTCTCACATCCAGGCTGTATCTGAATTCTTTGGCCTTTTTTTAAGGAGAAGCTATGCCTTGTTAGTATGCTATGTACAATACTTTCTTTCATCTTGTAACTGCATCCATGCCAAATCTGTGATTTGTGTAATTTTCGTGTAATTCAACCTGTGCTTCACATTGACAAAGGCATTGTTTTCGGCTTCTTCTCTAATAGTATTAATCTTTATTGCCTTCTTATTGTTCTGCTTTAAATTTTCTTCTGCTTTAAATTACTCTTCCAGTTGCTTGGTCTTCTTTTTAATAGCCATCAGTGCTTGTAAGCTACGCTCACCCTTATCAGATACAGTGTGTATGACAGGAGGAAAGTTTGGTACTTGCAGAGAAGAGTAGAAACATTTAAGAACATTGGGTGATGAATGAGAAGAGCAATACTTAAACTGTAACTATTTTGTATATCGAAATTTTCTTTTCATAGATGGAAAAATCCGTCTGGCAACGTTAGAACTTGGATGCCTGTTGCTGAAGCAGCTTGTGTTTTCTAAAAATGGCAGCATCATAAAAGATGTTCACCTTGCTTGTCTTGAGGTAAGTATTTCTCTCAAGTTACCAGTCAAAACATTACTTGTCTTTGAGTCTTGTGGTACAGTTGAATAAGTTTATTTCACTTCTGACTGCACTAAGCATAAATGTGAAATTTGAACTTGTAGAACATCTTTCCAGTGGTGGCTCTGTGCTGTGAATGTCAAGAATCAATTCCCCATGGTCTGTTCTCAGCCTTGCTATTTAAACTCTAACTTCTCCAGTGGACTTTTGTTTCATTTACTCTCTGAAATGTGTATGTCATCCATCTCAGCAATGTCAAGAAAAGTGCTTCTGAAGCTAACAAGCCCACATAAGATGTATTTTCATAAATGCAAGAATCGTGTTCTATCAGATTCTGTGCTGATGACTACGAGTATAGGGGTGTTAATAGGCAGCCTCTTCTGCATGAGGTTTTGGGTGGGTTTTTTTTAACGTGACTTGAGTAAATGGTGTATTTACTCCCTGAAACACAGTTATTTTTCTCTTTTCTAGGGTGCAAGGGAAGAAAGCGTTCATCTCCTTCGTCGTTTCTATAAGGTATATAGGCAAACTGCTGTAAGAAGAAATCCCTTACATGATGTGGAATTAGAAGCAAGTCTGCAGCCCAGTAGTAATGCCTTTTTGGCATTACTGCTTGTGTCTTACCTGAAATTATGATCTAAAATTTTACTTGATCTTTTTTCTTACTGGAGACCTCTGCAGCTTTTTGACTTTTTTTTTTTTTAATTGTAAACAATAAGAGAAATAAAATTTTTAGACCTAGGCATTAACTTCTGTATAAGAAGCAATAAATCCATTTCAGGTGTCTAAAATCTCTTCCTGTTTTTGTTAGAATTCTCTTGAAGAATGTTTGCTCAGTGTGGCTTACAAAAAATAAGCTGTCCATCCAGCTGCTCTGGCACTGCCTCTCCTCTGTAAGATGGAGGGAGAACTTAAGATGAAAAAATATTGTGGTTGAGATAAAGAAAGACATGGAGATCACTTACCAATTATCATCATGTGCAAAACAGACCCAACTTGGTGAATGTTAATTTGTTGTAAATTAAAATAGATCATGAGAAACAAAGATAAATTAAAACAACTCCTTCCCTCCACCCCTCCTTTTTTCCCAGGCTCAGATTTGCTCCTTCATTCCTGGTTCTTCTGCTTTCTCCCTCTACCAAGTGGTGCAGGGGGGTGGGAAATGTGGGTTTGGGTCAGTTCATCTCTGCTGCTTCTTTGTCCTCATGCTTTTCAGCTGCCCCAGTGTGGGTTCTCTCCTCCATGGAGAGGAAAAAAATCCACTTCAGCATGGGTCCTCCACAGACCACTGTTCCTTCAGGGCATGTCCTCTGTTGCTGCAGTCTGGATATCTGCTCCGCCACGCTCCTCTCCATGGGCAGCACAGGAATGTCTCTGCCTTTATTCAGTGTATTTTCCCAGAGGTGCCGTGGTGTTGCTGAGGGGCTCAGCTGTGTCCTGCAGTGGGGGTGGCTGGAACCAGCTGGAACTGGTTGTGCCTCTCCTCACAGAGGCCCCACAGCCCTCTGCTAGTGCCTGGGCAGGAACACCCAGTACATAATTAGACAACCAAAGAAATGTGGCTCCATAGCCATAAGGATTCATGATCTGTCCGTATCCCTTTTTTCGAAAGGGTGAAGAGATTTTTCTGGATATGTTTGAAGATGAATACCGGAGCATGACAGTAAGTGACACCCCTTCTGCCCTGCCAAATCCTCACATCCAGATGCAACACAGGAGCAAGAACAAGTGCTTATTGTTAACTACTGAGTATGCTGGTATTTTTGTTTCTGGGAGTACAATAACAGTGTGGGTGGATTTTTTTTTTGTCTCTGAGAAGTTTTGTCTACACTTACAGAAATAGTTCATGTGAAATTTCACAGGTCTTAAGTAGAAGCCCATTACTTTCTGAAAGCAAGTATACAAAAATCCTGAATAATAAGACATTGGCTTAATTTCATTGTTGTTATTGTGAAAATCTCTCTACATCTTTCTGAAGTCCAGCAAGGTTTCAGTCTTGAGTGGTGCCAGCAGGGAACAGAGTTTTAGCCAGCAAATACCGTGACCTGTGCCTCACCTAGGAGAGGTACTGCCTGCGCGACCGTAACGGCTGTGGAAGTTGTAGCAGATTACTAAACTTAATCTCAGACACTTCATATTTAACCTATAAAAGCATTTTAAAACTAATTTTTTGTTTCAATTCTTAGTTTAGAAATCAGATAAATAAACCTTGGGTAGCCAGTTACAGCTCTTTTCAGTGGTACAGGGATTTAATGAGCAGCCACTGGTTTTTCTTTTTGAAAGAGCACAATCTACAGTTGGTGTGTTGCAGTAAATCTTTTAATATGGGAAGCATCTTGCACGTGTCTCACCACCCTAGATAATAGAAGAGTTTAGTGAGACTTTTAATCTTTTAGTAGCTAAGTACTGCTGTACTTTTTGTTTGAGAAATGGCGCTGATATTAGCATAGCTTCTATACTGCAAGTTCAGTGTATGTGTAGGTTTTTCTGTTGTATCTCTGAGACTGCTTTTTTTTTTTAATTTACCATAAAAGACAGAGCTACACCCTGGAACTTTGTTTTCCTTAAAGCATATTTATTGGCCTACCTAGCAAATGACTTGCTAGGCAGGCTGATTTAAGTGCTAAATAACACTGATGTTGTCTTGTCAGATGAGTTGTGTAAGTAACATGGAAGCTTCTAGGAAGGCAGAAGTATACTTGCTCTGTCTGAATGACTGAGAAAGAAAGGAAGAAATTGTGTCTTAATTAACGAAAGATGAGAACAAGTTCAGAGAAGCAAGTAAATTGAACACTGTAGTCTTCAGTATTTTTGCTTTCAGCAGTGAGTTTCCTTTTTTAACATTCTTTACCTTTAGGATGTAAAGTGTAGTTTAAACCAGTGTACACTCATGTGAATTGCATCTGAAGTAGTTATTGTTAGAAATTTTAGTTCTCTGCTCTCATTTGTTCTCATTGTCTAGACAGATTTCCGTATCTTTCTACACATTCATTAAACTTGTTAATGCAGTGTTTTAGACACTTAACATTGATAGTTCTGAGATCAGAAAAAATGGCTAAAGACTATTTTTGGGTTTGTATGTGTGCAAGGCAGCAGTTCAAGACTGCACTGTGAATATTCTGGACCTTGTGTTGGTCTGCTGCTTTTATGGTATCTAACCATGGCAAAGTGGCCAGGAATGCTTCCAGTTCTGCTTGCCTTTTCTGGAACACCCACATGACTGCATTTTTGTTCTATGAAGAATACTGTAAAAGCTGTGGGAAGGGCTTTTACATGTTTTAGCCATGCCAGCTGGCTTTCTGGCAAAAAGAAGCTCATGTCTCCAGTGCATGTGTATATAACAGAACTTGAGAGAGATTGTCCGAAGATACAGAAGGATAGATATTTCAGACATCATTTATTGATGAAAATAAGCACCCATGTAAGGGAGAGACACTGTTAGTGGCGAGATTGAAGGCAATTGTCTAGTGGGGAAGTTATGGCGTTATCGGAGACTAGAGAAAAAGATACGGGAATTTTTTTCTTGTGATGGAAATAATTGCAGTTTTGTGTCAAAACTTAAAATTAGACTTGGCAGACTCATGAAATATCTTTTTCTTCTGCAATCTTTCAGAGGTTTTTTTCAGTACAGAAACTTGAACACTGTGTTAGGGAACAATGTGCAAATGTAAAATAGCGATTGCATGTAAGAAGCTTAAAGTAAGATGGATGGTATAAAAAAATCTTCAGAGCTCTCTAACGATTTCTTCCTGTTAAAATGTGCAACCATGAGTTGTATTTGAAAATAATATGCAAATGCTTATTGTTCTATATAGTAATCAATGTTAAAATATTTGTATAGATGAAACCCATGAATGTCGAGTACTTGATGATGGATGCCTCGATCTTGTTGCCTCCAACGGGGACACCACTGACTGGTATTGACTTTGTGAAAAGATTGCCTTGTGGAGATGTGGAAAGAACACGAAGAGTAAGGAAGGGGTTTTTTTTCTTACATTTGTTCATTATATGATGCCAAGGGCTTTGAACAATTCTAGAAATACAAATATTTTTCCTTGAAAGCTGCCTGATAGGAAGCTTAAGCCATAAAATCATAAAGACTTGATGAAGGCAAACCTGTGTGTAGAGTATATAATATTTACCTGTCCCAGTGGAGAAACCTTTTCTTTACGATTTCTTGTGTCTAGTCTATTCAATATGTTCTTGCACTAGGGTTTTAATTTTTTTAGACTGTGGAGACATCTACATAAAAAGGCATTTGATGACACTTATTAACATACTGCCTTTTCCTTTCATGATCTGATATCTCCGTCTATCTTTCATCATATTCCTAAAGTAAGAATCTCTGGAACGCTTCATATTGCTGGTGTTTCTAGAAACAGGAAAAAAAATTTCTACTCAGGAGTATGCATCTTGTTGAAGTAATTAATGATAGAGATCTTGAGAGTATCTGTTTTTCTGACCGACACAGTCTGTAGAGGATACTGACCGGAATAACATAATCATTATCGGCATTCTTGGGATAATCAGTTCCTGGTCCCTATCTGGATGTGTCCTATAAGCTTTGCAGTGTCAGTAAGTCTTAAAGATATATTACCACAAGAGATTATTATTTGAGAAGTGCTGTTCTTTGGGTAGCTTTTCCTCTATGTAAGTATATTCAAGTCTCTTGAAGAAAAACTGTATTTCCAGGAATCTTCTGAAAACTTTTGTTTACATGACTTATTATAAACCACGCGACTTTTGTTATCACGGCAAGCTAAGTCTGATAAAGTGCAGTGAATTATCTTGAAAAAAGATTGTTCTTAGAAAGCAAAAATGGTTCCTAGAATTCTCTCTGAGGCATTTAACAGAATAAAACTTAGAAGTGTATGTTAATGGAAACTGACTGCTCAATGGCTTTTCATGTGCTAAATAAGGAATAGCTTAACCTCTCTTGGTAGAAATTAAAGAATCAGTATAAATATTCCTGTAAGTTCTTTGGGATGGAGGGGTCTTTCTCATTAGCAAGAACTCTCAGAATGTTTCCTTGTTGATCCTCCTTCCTCTGATCGCATGGCTCTGTGAGCTTTGGAATCTGTTGGAGCTCCTGTGCTACTTCCTTGTAGCTGGGCTGCCTCTCTTAGACTGAATTGCCATGCCAGTGTGCTGACCTTCAGGTGTATCTTATGGTATTGCTGCCGCCACTTAAGCTGCTCGAGGTGGTTTTTGCTGACAGTTTCTGATGGGTACTGATTCAATTCTGAGCATGGCGTGATTCTAAAAAGTTCTCAAGTTCTCTAGCAAGTGAAGAAGTCTCGCACTTTATGTCATGAGTTCTTAGCGGTTGGAGATCAGATCTTTCTAAGGTTCTCACTTCTTTTGCTCTAGAAAGTCCCTCTAAGTGGCAATTCTTTTCCTCTTAACTTTAGGAGGAACTGAAATCTGATCAGAAATCTGATCTCTCTTGAGTTATCAAAGGCACATCTCCAAAATCCAGACTGCAAACCCTTCTGAATTAAAATGTTTAAGTGACCAGAACTTGTTAGGCTGCTCTCTGAAATCAGCTACTGCCGCTTGATCAAGCCTTCTGCCCTGAGCCAGATGCTCTTTTGTCTTCTTAACAGTCCAGTTACTGCTTGTTGGTCGTATCTCTTCCTTTTGATTTCTATACTCCTAAAGGTGGTACCACTTACCAGCCATCTAGAATAATGCAGGCTCATTTGGGTGCTTATTTGGGAAGTAATAGTATGGGTCTTGAACTCTGCACCTTGGAGTACATAGAAAGCAAAGACTTTGAGAGAATGTTTTGAACTACCTGTGAGAATGCTAATTCATGTGAGTGTAGTAAGATACTGGTAGGTTTCCCTCCATTGTGCCATTTCTTTGCACATGGTATGTGTATATAAATGAAGGAATCACCACAAAGTATACTTCATCATAGTGTGTAGTTCTTTAATGTAAATAACAACTTGTATTTGTTCCTACCTAACGTTCTGTGATTCTGTAATACAGAAGTCAGCTGAAAAAGAAAATTTAGGCCACTGAACTGCTCTGCTGTTTTATTGTGGTCTAATAAAATGTTATAGGAAGTCACAGATCTTTACAAATCTTGCCTTTGGGTTTACGTTGATGTTGCTAGCAAACTGAGGTCTCTCAGTATTGTAGGAAGCACAGTGTAGTCACCTTTGCATCTGTTGTTGATTTTGTTTTTTCCTTGCAAAAGTTGAAGCTCTGATTTTCTTACCTAGTCCTGTAGATTATTCTGCAGTAAATGTGGTTACATGTTTGTAGATGAGTGATACTAGTTTTATAGCGAATGTATGTGAGAAAAAATAATGCTCTGTCTAGGAGGGGGAAATTAATGAAAGTAGGCTGAGTGATGGCTGCACTCTGGATTAAAAAAACCAAACCCATTGGGTTTGACTCTTGGGCTATCAAAATCCAAGGATGTTGCTGTTCTGGATTGAATTTGAAACTTTAAAATCCAATACCATTTATTCTTCTTGAAGTGTCTGGTAGTAAAACTGCTTTTTAGAAATCCTATTTAATTTCTGTAAATCCACAATACATTAGGATCATGGAATTGTTAGAGTTGGAAGGGACCTTAAAGATCATCTTGGTCCAACTCCCCTGCCATGGGCAAGGACACCTCCCATTAGACCAGACTGCATTTATGAGAATTCATGAGAATTCAGTCTGCCTAAATGGGAGCGATCATCTCCCATTATAAAAGTAACTCTGCTCTTATTCATAAGGAAGTGCTAATATAAGACGTACCATTGACATTCTTTGCTCCCAATAACCATGCTGTCCTATGAGATGTCAACAGCACACCACTTTCATGTGCTTTGGTGTCAGTTCATGGGAGCCCCAGATACCTGACTTCCTTCTCTTCATTCCTGTTCCGCCAGAAGTTTCTGAAAACACCGCCAGGATGGGCGCTGGCCAAGCACTCCCATTTCTGGTTCACAAGAGCCACACTTCTGTTCACTTAGAAAACAGAGGAATGAGGGGTTTTGCCTTAAAGCAGTTTAGGTTTGTTTCTCCTAATACTTTCTGCAATCTGGAAGTTCCTGGGCACTGCAGCTGTTCCATGAATTCAGTGTTTTTACTGTAGCGCAGCAGTTAATTTACAGTATGCCACAGAATTACTACGTAGGAAACTGTGTTAAAAAACAAAACACTGGATGTGATAAAAAATGATTTTTCATTTGCTGTACTGAAAATAGTTCTTGTACTGGAAGAGGGTTATAAATGGTGCCTTTCAAGTGTGGCTTATAAAGTGATGGTTGATCTTTGGCACTTTATCTAGACTTTGCATACCATATGTCATTAATTTCTAACTCAAAACAAGGATATTTTCACGGAGTAGCTGTTGAAAGTTGGTTGGAACTGGTGCAGCTTTCAGAATGTTTTGCCCTGATATAGTCCTTCTGAGAATGGAGATTAACTTCTCAGAGAATGCTGCATTGCACATGGTTCATTTTGATGAACACAGCAAATTAAATCTCAGAAATCCCCCGTTTTCTCTCAAACTTGTAGACATCTCAGCTAGACTCAGACAGAAGAGTTATTACTGTTTTTAGCTCAAAATGTGAGAGTCTCTGAAGGTTGGTTGTGGTGTTGTCTGTAGCGTACAGGTATTTTAAATACAATCAGTCTGTAAAAATGATTAAAAAAGAAATCCAAGATTGTTGGTTTTGCTTAAACAGCTCCTGTAACCAATTTGTGTAAGTGTGCCAGTGGGATAAAAGCTCTGCTGCTTTTACTTCACTGAAAATAAATAGCATGTTTCATCTTCTTCTGTAGCCTCTTTCTAACTAACTGAAATTACATTCTACTTTCTCAATTTAAAAAGTAGATACACTGCATGACGGCAAACTCAGGGGTTGTAAAAGCAAGTGTACATTTGTAAGATTCTGTTAAAATACGCAGTACTGAGTGCAACACGTTTTAATGTTTTGTTTTAATATCTCAAGTCAATCAGAGTTTTCTTCATGCTCCGTTCACTATCACTGCACTTGCAAGGGGAGCCAGAAACTCAGTTACCACTCACAAGAGAGGAAGATCTGATAAAGACAGATGATGTTCTTGACTTGAGTAAGTAGTCCCTCCATTTCCCAGTCTATTCATAGAAAAATTACTGGTGGGTTCTTTTTTTTTCTGCTTGTGCTTTTTTGTTTTAAGTTAAACACCCCAAATAGTTAGCTTGTTTGTGTAAGTGACAGCCGAGTATGATGGCTTAAAGTTTATCTGCTCTTGGATTTGGAACACTTCTGGTGATTTGTCTTTGTGGGGTTGTTTGTTTGTTTGTTTTTTGTTTGTAAAGATACTGTTAATAAATGTTCAAGGGTTTAAATATTAGCTCAAAAAGGATTTGGAGTCCTTCATCTGGTTTCCTGGTATGTTAGTTTTCTAAATGAATTCCTCCTAGGATGATCCTGCTTTCTCTTACTCAGAATGCACTTAAACCATTCATGAACTTCAAGCCAGTGGCAATAATTAATCCAACAGCTTCACTATGCTGTTCTGCTGATACTGGGGTTTGGTTGTCATCGTGCCCCCCGCTGCCCTGGATTTTTCACATCCCTTCTGTCGTTTTAAAGTTGGCATATGGAAGCTTATACTCCTATAGTTGAACAGGATGCTGAGGTGTTCCCAAGGGAAGTCAGCCTGTAATGTCCAGAATAACCTTGTGCTATTAAGTAGTACTTACTGTGAAGGCAAAGTACCTTCTTTCTGCAGTACCACAGGTTACTACTGCACTCTCCATACTGAAGAAACAAAAGTTGGATGGAATAGGATATGTAGTATGGTATTTGTCTGTAAATTCAATATACCTGTCTTCATTTAATGTCAAAATATACATCTCTAGATGACCTTAGGTGTTACTAAGCAGTGCAGCTTCTAAAGTAGCTCTGGCCTACATTGTAACGCTGTAGCTTCTCTGTCTCCAGCAGTGTCATCCCTGGAGAAGCACTAACTTGTCATGCTTTATGTTAATCTTACTACAGAAGATTTAAAATGTGTAGAGAAGTGTGCTTTTAGGCTAGAACTGACAAAACGTGCATGATAATATATAAATGCTGTTAATTCTGTTTCTTGTAATCAAGACCTAGAAGAATTTGACGTTGGTGTTAGTTGGTAAGTAGTTAACTTTTGTTCAGGCAGTTGTCTTACTAAGAACTTGCAGGGACCATTAGAGAGCATGTGACTGCTAAAACGGAGTGTATGTGTTTGCTAGGGCTTGAATTTTTGAGGATTATTGTCCTTACAAAAGAAGCAAAAACATAGTTGATGTTTCAGATGTTAATTTTTTTATTATATTTAAGTGCTTGTCGATCTTACCCCAGCTAAAGAAAACAGTTGTCCTTAGTTGCCTTATTAGGTGTTACGGGATTATGTCTGGTATCTTAGAGACCTTTTAGTGCATCAAGTCCATTAAGAATGTTCATTATCTGAGTGAAGGGAAAACAATGAAATCAAGCTAGCTAAGCAAAAGTTTTGTGCTGTCACAGCTACCATCCAGTGACTTAGTGGGTGAAATCCAGATTAAACCTTAACTAAGTAATATTTCAAAATTATTATTTAAAATTTTGTTTAGAAAAGGTATTTGGCTGCAATACTGAAAATGTCGAAGTTCAAGCCCTGCAGCTTAGAGCAGTGAAAGGTTTTGAGAATAAACTCATTTATCTTTAAATATGGAAAGAATGCTGTCAAAGCAGTTAACTGTAATGTAAAGGCTGTAGGACCAGGACAGGCTTTCACTAAGGCTACAACAGATGAGAAGATATCAAGATGTCAATTCAGTGTTTGCATTTTTGTAGCTACGTGGCCGATGCTGTGGAAGGCTGACACTTGAGTCATGGCAGTTCCCACTTGTTGAATTTCTGTATTATTTAAAAGATTTAAGAGAATACACAGGGAAAATACTTACTAAAATGTGTTCTTCAGTAGTTGTTCTTACTGGTATAGTTTTAGTTTGATGAATTAAGCAGAGTGAGCTTAATGCAAACTCACCATTTTTGGTCTTTCCCAAAAAGCTTTCCCAAAGAGAATGAACAGTGCAGGTTGTTGTTAATTCCATTACACAGTTACTGGTTCATGGTTTAGTTACTGTTGCCTTGCCAAAGGATTAGTAATACAGACCTCGCTCAGTTTCCTGTTTCAAGTGAGTTAGGTATTTATTGTAATGTTGGCTTTTTTTCAGAGGGTGAGATGAAATAATGAGTCAGCTTCTACTGAAAGAAAGTGTTTTTCCTAAATTCACTGGAAATGTGATTATGAAGTAGTTGTTAGTTTTTTAAGAACGTACTGACCAGAAGGTAGATCTGATTGAAATCGTTTTTCCAAATGTTATTTGTTCTTTTTCCTCACCCCCTTTTGCTTATTTGTCGGCCTGGAGAAACACTGGTCACCCATTACAAATTCTGATGGACTGCACCAGAGGAGTTGCACAATCCACTGCTGATGTCTCTTTATTTATGACTTTGCATTTCTGAAGCAGTTGCTTTTGCACTGAATGCAAGGTGTCCTTTTCTTGGAACACATAGTTTAGACTGCAGATTATTAATTCTTCACTCTGTTATGTATAACTTTCTGTTATTTTTAGTACATGTCCATAATGCCAAATTAAACTGCTAAAATAGTGGTCCATGCTCTGTGTTTAATGGTGTCCAAGGTTGTTTCCTTTTTCCAGTGTGGAATGCTGGATATAAATGGATAAAAGGGTCTATAGATGGAAAAGATGTTTAAAAAAAAACAACAAACCCAAAACCCAACAAACAAAAATTATCTGCTTCAATTGGAATAATTTGTTCTAAACCCTAATGTAATGCCTACTGTAAAAAGGTTTTTTTGAGAGCTTGTATTAAATTAAAATTGTACTGTCAATTTTAAAACATCGCCCTTTTAGATTTAAACTTAATTTGTTGCTTTAAGGCATATTAGAGTTCTTAACTGTACAGTCGTCAACTTAAAATTCAAATTTATACTGACCAACATGAACTAAGGCAGCAATGGTACTAAACCACTTGTCAGGTGGTACTTAGCATAAACTTAAGTTTAAAACCAAAAAAATCAAAGTTAAAAGAACATTTTTTGGGATAGGAAGATTAGAATTCTCCTCTGAGTCTGAGAAGGTAAATAGCAGTATCCCAAATAATGCTGGGAATGACTGAATATTTATTTAGCTTTGATTCACTTAAAGGACTTGAGGTGCTTTGCCTTTCAGTGACTGCTTCCCTGTGCTGTTCCACTTTCTCAGTGGAAGGCAGCAGAGATGCCCACATGACTGTAGCACATCCCAGGAGAGAACTGAAGTAGTTTCATAGGAATTAAGTTACTTTAGTCTTAAAATATTGCCTGATAGTCTTCCCAACGCCTTTGCGAAGTTGTACTTTCCCAGTGCTGCTCTTTAGAAGAGCTCATGGGTTTCTTGCTATGACTTCTAGCTTGTTTGTCTTAAAAAAAAACAAAAACAAAAAACTGCAGACTATTCTACAATTAATATTTTATTGCTGTCATAATTGTAATAGTGACAAAGTAGAATTCTTAACTGCGGTGTTTATCACCTGGAGTGTTAGGAAAGCATTGAAGAGGTCTCTCAGCTGCAGTATAAAAGCAGAAAGACTCAAAAATGGAGTGGTGGTTAGAAATGAAATCTCCTCCTAGACAAGGATCTGCTAGGCTATACTCACTTTAATTTTTTCATAATACAGTTTGAATTAAGCATGTTGCCATATGCTGCTAGCTCTTTGATTACAAACCAGGAACTCACTGAAAATAGAAGTGATGGTTTATTACACACGTGCACTTTGGGACAGCAGATCCATCCTTCTTTGGAGGAGAAAACCAAATTCTTTAGGACTTCAGCAGCTGAGTTTATCTTTACAGAAGAAACCTCTCAGCTGCTTGTCTTGGAAGGGGGCTCACTCAAAACAAGACAATGTGTTACATGTTCCTGTTGCTCATTGTGTGGTAGTGTGGTAGAATGTTCGTTTGAAAAGAGGATTGATTTTTTTCCCCCCAGATAATCTGTTTTAGAAATTTAATAGTTAAGTTGTGCTGATTTTTTTTTTTTTTAAATTGAGATTTTTTTAATTAAAAATTAAGATCACTGCTTTTGTTTTTTTAACTAGTTGTTAACTACTAAACGTTTTCGGTAGGACGTGAATCAAAAGACAAGAGGATTGATACAGGACTTTCAAAATGTCTGAACACACAAATAGATGTGTATGTATTGTGTATTGTGTGGACAGATGGGAAGCTGTTACAGGTTACATCAGAGTTAAGCATGAACCTTTTTGCAGAGCTGTTTTGGTAGCTCCAGATACCCCTGAGATACTGTTTAGTAAACATCTAGTGCAGCTAATAGACTTTCTAAACCGAATTGCAGTAAGTGTTGCACACTTGAGGAGTATTACAGTTTTATCTCTTCCTTATGTGTGCTGCTGTGACCTATTTAAGTTTAAATACAGAGTATCCACATAATGATTGCAGTTTTGTGCCTTAGTGTATTCACTGTTTTCTCACCTTTTCAGAGAAGGTCTTAGTCCTTGTTTTGGGACCGCAATATGTAATTACAGCCGTAGATTTTTTCCAGGGATGATGCTTTCCATACTCGCCAGCATTTAGTAGTAACCAGTTCTTTTTCCGCAGCTGGCAGTTGCAGAAGTTCAGTTAAACACACTGCTTACCCCACTGTCAGAGAAAACAGCCTCCATCTGAAGAGGGACTGAGTCAGGCTGGGATGTCAGAATTTTGAGCAGCGTTCTAGCCTATTTCCAAAAATTGAAATAAACTGGGAAAAGGCTGTAAAAAGCCCTTCCTGTTGAGTTTGCTCATGTACTGTCTTTGAACAATCGGTGCCTGGTGTGGAGTTTTGTGTGTTGGCTTCAAGAGACTTTCCTGGTTAACTAGAAAGGTGTACACTTTTATTTCATCTCAAAATCACGTTGACAGGTGTTAGACCTGTTCCAAAGAAGTGGTACTGTTATGTGTGTCCACAAAACATGATCATGTTTCACGTGTTTTCCTGGGAGGGGCTTTTCTTTTCAGTAAATTGCTAAAATGCTGTGTAGCACAGACACAGAGATTTGGATCTGGTCCTCACAGCAGACAGATGCTATCTGGTTTTAACAAGTCACCTGCTGAGAGCCCAAGATTATGGGGCTGGTGTCTGTTTTTTCCCTTTCCTGACCAAGAGATGATATGTGAGCTGAGTTTCTGACTTTCTACTGGACAAGAGAGATGGCAGACATAGAGAGAAAGTAATTCTGAGCCTCTCTGAAAGAGGGATGTTTACTGTGAAGAGTAAACAAAGTCATTTTAAACTGCTCAACATGGTCAACCATTGGTTGTCGAAAACATTTTGAATAGAGTGCACAGAGTTGTTTCAAAGGACTTATATGAAATTTGAAATGGCTTTGTAAACTCTGAATATATTTGGGGAATATGTTGTAGTCCTGTCAGGGATCATATGGTTCTCTATAAACTCATTTAATCAAAGTGCAGAACTTTAATCCTGAAGCTCTTTGCAGTGAATGACTGCCACAGTAAGGGGTAAAGTGGAATATTGTCCCAGATGGGCTACGTGCTGTTTGTCTGTAAAGCAGGAGGTGTCTGCAGCCCAGTGCTCACCTTAGACTGCCAGTGATGCACACCAAGTGCTACAAGTTTTCTGTGAGAGCCTTTAATGTCTGCAGGTGATTTCTAGAATTGTGATGACTGTAAATTATAAAGCCATTAAAGATCAAGTCCTGGGACAGGCCAGGTAAATTTAGACCATCTGCTGAAGTAGCTGTTGTATTTGTGAACGCTTCATGTAATACAGTCTTTCCAGGCAAATAGTTGCCTGTGTTTATGCAGTATTTCCATCTAATTTAAATATTCTTTACTGCAAGGAACTGTAGTCTTTGAACTTTCCTTCCTAGGCTGTTATTTCCTAAAGGTTGTTTATTTTCTTGGAGAAAGCCCAGAGAAATCTTGGATCCATGTCTTGGAAGTGTAGTATCCGAACTGGTTACAAGCTTTGTTTTGCATGAGGAAAAATGAAGCGTTGCTGTTCATCTCAGAAATGACACACTATTTTGCAGCAGTGTCACCTCAGTGAGCCATTTACTCTGTGGTTCCCTTTAATCCTCAGCTCAAGTTTCAATAGTACTCAAGTTTACTGGGCTTGAAGTTCTTTCATCTAACTGTGGTTGGGTGTCTGTAACTGTTTCATAGCGTAGCTCAGGCCAGTTCACTGGAAATGTGTTTAACCACACTTTCTCTTCTGTTTTTGACATGAAGGATGACTGTAGCTTAGGACTCTGCAGCTGTAAACTAGAAACAGTCATGGAAATGAGGTACATTCAGTTGTGTAAATTTAACAGATGCCTGCAACATTTGCCTACTAAAGGAGTAACTTTCCTTTCTGTTCCTTGATAAACTTTCACAGTAATGCTTTACTTTAAGTTTTGTCAGATCTAAAAACTGAAAGCTTTCTGCTCTGGAAAACAACTGTAAACCCATCCTTGGTTAGTTGTACCAACTGTTGGAAAATTCATTCCTTCTCAGCTAATGTTCACAGGGATTTTCTTGTTTTATTCTGTTTCTATGGCTTGGAAAACAAACATTGCATCTATCCTGTGAGTTATGTATGACTTCCTTGAAGCTAGTTCTGTTTGACCCTAAGAGTATTCTTAGAAAAACAGAAGTTCTCGGTTAGAAAGTTCGTTCTGTGAAGGAACAGACACCAGTTGTGTGGTTTCATCAGACAATTATTTTTACCATGGAACTTCTGCCATTTGTAGCTTTTGTCTGTTAGACTTGGCCCTGTGTTAAATTTCTTATCCATTTCACAGAATCCCAGAATGTCAGGAGTTGGAAGGGACCTGGAAAGCTCCCCCAGTGCAACCCCTGCCAGAGCAGGATCACCAGAGCAGTCACACAGGAACACGGCCAGGGCTTTGGGTGTCTGCAGAGAAGAAGACTCCACAACCTCTCTGGGCAGCCTGGGCCATGCTCTGGCACCCTCACACTGACAAAGTTTGTCCTCATGTTCAGCTTGAACCTCCTGTGCTCCAGCTTGGGACCATTGCCCCTTGTCCTGGCACTGGACATCCCAAGGGTTCTGTTGGCTAAACGTTGCCTCCATTGCCATTTTAGATGTCATGATTTTCTGCCTGGTGTCTCAGATTCTTCCCTAAAAAGGACTGTCTCCCATAAGCTCTTATTTGCCAGTCCTGTATGGATTTTTTGAGGCTCCTAGGGCACATGGAAAGTAATGGCAATCAATCCTTACCTAACTGAATCGCATCTTGTACGTATTGCAGAAAAGGGCCAGTGTTGTATTTACTGATTAAGCTTGTTTTGTCCAATTTCAGAAGCTCACACTAAATTCATACTGGATTAGCGTTAATGATCCTCTTTTAATTGTGTATGGGTTCCACATTTCCTACCACCCAATGGATTTTGAGTGGTAAAGGGTAATTGGTGCAATCATAAGAATGTCCTCTTATGGACAGGAAGGGACCTCTTGGCTGCGGAGTGCAGGGGTTTTGGGGGGAAGAGGTTGATTTTTTTTGCGTTTCTTTTGGTTTTTTGAAACTTGAAAACCTTTGGTGGTAGAAATTCCACCTTTCTGGGTAACCTGTGGTGCTGTCTTGTGCCAGTGACAAAAGAATTTCTCCCACCTCCAAGCTATAAGCTATGGATGTTGTCCCTAGTTGTATGGCCTGCCACTGTGAAGAGCTGCATGCTTCCACCTGTAGCTTATGTCTGTCCCATAGATGTTTCTAGTAGGAAATACGGTGGTTTAAGTTTTACTGTTTTGTATAACCTGCAACCTTGTTCCTATCCATTTAGGTAACTGTTCTAGTTTTATTTTTAGGGTTTAGCCTAAGTTTATAATGAGGTAGAGGCCTGCAGGTAGAGGCCTGCAGTGGTGTAGAACTGTGTCCGTGGTATTTCAACAAGACTTTTTTCCATTTAGTAAGAGAAATCAACATTGTTGCAATTTTACCCCTGAAATGAAGTGACCTTTTATACTAAAAGGTGATGAAGGTGGTGAGAGAAAGCAAGGTGCATATACTACACATCTTATACATAACTTTAAACCTGTGTTGTAAAGATGTTTGCATTTTTATGTATTAACATTTTGTGTCACATAAAACAACCCAAACCCAGAATCCTTGAGTTCAGTAGCTGTGTAACCTTTTTCCTCTCTTCCTTCAGATAACAGTGATCTGATTGCTTGTACAGTCATTACAAAGGATGGGGGTCAAGTCCAAAGATTCCTGGCTGTGGATATTTACCAGATGAGTTTGGTTGAGCCAGATATTGCCAGACTTGGATGGGGAGTAGTTAAGTTTGCTGGCCTTTTGCAGGTAAGAGAAGTTTTAATCTGGGTGGTTACTTTTTCTCAGTTGAAAAATCTAAATTTATTATCAATACATAGTAATACCAATATTAGCCTTATCTATTTAAGCTCTTGTTTCTTCTGTTAATAGTCTTTTTTCTAGTTCACATCTTTTAAACCGTTCAGTATTTCTTGCTTCCTGAAGTTTACACAGCTAACTAGAGACATACTTGAAAATGAGGTAACTTCCCAAATATGTCTTGGAGTGTGTTCGTTTGAATACTGAAATTGTGTACAATTAGGACCGAGTCCCAGACACATTCCTGAAGTGGCACAGTAATGAACTCTTCTAGAGTTCTGATCGTCCTGCACGGGTAGGGAAGGTGACACGTTGTGCCTTCAAAGTGAACTGTGCTTATCAGATTAATAGGAAAAGCTTTAAGAAGTTTCTCTCATTTATGTCTCTTTCTTGCCTTAGCCAGCACTCTTTGTATTTTCTGAAGATGTGATATGCTCAAATAGCTTGGTTGACTTTTAAGCTGAGCTAATCTGTGAGTGCTCATTTCTGAGGAACTAAATCCAAGGTTGTACAAGTTGTGTAGTCCTTTTTTTTTTTTTCTTTTTTCTTAACACAGAAGCTGGAGCTTTAATGAAGCATTCATAGGGTTTCCTTTTAATGTTGATATTTAATCTATAGTTTATAAATGCTTACTTTTTCATCAACCACTTGTGTTCTGTTTCTTTTTAGGATATGCAGGTGACAGGAGTAGAGGATGACAGTAGAGCTCTGAACATAATAATTCATAAGCCTGCCTCAAGTCCTCATTCGAAGCCCTTCCCTATCCTTCAAGCTACATTTATTTTTTCTGATCACATTCGCTGCATTATTGCAAAGCAACGTCTTGCAAAAGGCCGTATCCAGGCTCGGCGTATGAAAATGCAGAGAATAGCAGGTAAGTGGTTATTTTGAAATGATTCTGAGAAACAAGACTCATATGTCATAGCAAGTTGCCCTGTAACGTTAAGGACGTGTCTAAGAAGTGGTATGCTACAGAAAACTGTAAACCAGTGTCTGCATTCCAAGCAGTGGATTTTATTGGAATGTTTTCATATTTGATGATAGACACATCAAAGAAAGGGTGTAAAAGAAGGATTCCCGTCTTGTTACCACTACCTGGCAGTCATTTCACAAAACTCAGCATTTCAACTGTGATTCGAAATTCAAATGCCCTACTTAGAAAGCAGTTTTCTACTGCCTTAGGAGTAAATTTGAGCTCAGCTTGCCTGAGTCCTGAATTGGATGGTGTCCTGGTGGTGATGATAATGCTTCATCTTAGGAGTGGTGATCATGAGCAATCCAAAATGTTAAGTGAGTAGGCAGCTTGATTTCTATGTTTAAAGGAAATGCATGCAAAGTGGTAAAGGAAAGAGTTAATATGAGAGTGCAAATAGCAAAGAGTGATTAAAGTATTACTTGAGTATTAAGTGAGCAAAGAATAAACTGGAGCTTACCAGTTAACAGTGAATTGATGAGTATAGAAAAGGAAACTCTGAAATAGAGGAAAGCCAATAGGCAGGCAAATGACAAAGGACACCAGCTATCTCAGTTATGTCCAGACTATCTCATTATTGTCCAAGAGCAATAAGGAACTAATCACTTCTGAAAAACAAGGTCATAGCTGGTATTAAAATTGAGTTGTCCATAGAATTATAATGATTATAGATGGTGTAAGATTTAATGTCTTATGGTTCTGTAGGAAGCTAAGTAAAGAGTTTTGTGCTTTGAGTTTACAACATAGATAGGTCGTACTTCTGTGGCTTGCTTCCTATTAAAAAATCTAAAGCAAGTCTTAGTTTAATGTAGGTCTAATTTGATGTTAAAATTTCATGTTGAACGGTAACGTTTTTGCCAGTTGTAAGCAGATTGTATCTTTAAATGGCTTTCTGCAGTGTTCAGTTTTAAGCAATGAGTGACTTTGTGCAGGTAAAACCAGAAGATTATAATTTTTTTAAAAATAACTCCTATGGCTTGTTTAATGCAAGGAGATTACTGCGATCCTTTGTTCTTTCTCCTCCACTGTATTCTGAGGCTTTCTTAGTGTGAATGTGGTGTGGACAGCAATGGTAGAAAAGGTTGCCAGAAATGTCGTGTCTCTTCTTTTCCAATGCAATTGCAGCCATAATTAAGACGTAAATGCAGGCAAGTTATGTTAAACAACCCGGTTTAATCTTAAGATCCTGAGCAAACTGTCAGCTTTATTTTCACCTTCTCTTTCTCTGATGTATTTTTGAGTAACAAAAATTATCAATTGTGATTAAACATAGCTCTCCTGGATCTTCCTGTTCAGCCTTCAAATGAAGTTATGGGTTTTGGACACAGCTCTGCAGCTACAGCCCAGCACCTTCCATTTAGATTTTATGATCAGTCACGGCGTGGTAGCAGCGATCCTACGGTGCAGCGCTCTGTTTTTGCGTCTGTTGACAAAGTTCCGGGTAAGATTGGTGTTCGTTATCAAGCTATTCTTGCTTTGTGGTTTGTGTTTGCCAAAGCTGAAGCATAACTTGTATAAACAATGAAAAGCTTACCTGTCATACATTTCTGAACACACAACTTCAGGATGAGGCTTGTGGAAAAATTCACTTCTAGAAAAACAAGTAGTGCCTGGGTGTGTATTCTGGGTATGTTGTGAGCAATACATCCATGGCAGTTTCTCCAAATATGCTGGAAGTGTCTTAATACTTTGCCTTCCTTTACAGATTGAGTTCGTTTAAATCGTGTTTTGCATACTAAGTATTTATGCAGCACATCCGACAGTTGTGCTTATTTCCTCCTTTAAGGAGAAAGCCTGGCTCCTTCCTCCTGACCCTCGCCCTTTCCAAATTGATCCCCATGAATGAGGGCACCCCTCAGTCTCCTCTGCTCCAAGCTCAAGAGCCCCAGCTCCCTCAGCTGCTCCTCATAAGGGAGATGCTCCACTCCCTCCAGCATCTTTGTGGCTCTGCACTGGACTCTTTCAAGCAATTCCCTGGAGTAGGAGAGGATGAGAGCTGTTACAGCTTCAAACTACATTTTGTGCAGGTGAAAGGTGACAAGGATATAACAGACCATGCTTGGGAACATCCCCATTAATATTCTTTATAGGAAGTATGGGTTTTGCAATTGCAGTGAGATCCTGTAATCATCGCAGATGATTGGCCTGATAAACTGGGCAGTTCCTTATGAGAGAAGAGCAGAAGCAAAATCCTTCACTCGATCAATTTTGTCATCGTCAAGTCATGACTATGAATATACCTCAGGGTCTATTTCAGGTTAATGGCCTTTGTCAGAACCTTGGAGCATTTTAGGGATAGTTTAGGTGGCTGGGCTGTTCACCGTCCTACGTATTAGCTGTATATGAGTGTCCATTTGTTTTCAAAGAAACGAGCAGGTTTGGTAGGTGTCCTGTGAACATAGGTCTTATATTGAAATTAAATAACCAGTTCCTCTTCACGCAAACTCAAATATTAGTTTCAAATACAAGCTGTATACAGAGATTTATCTGCTCAGTGTGCCTTAAGGGAAATCTTAATGATTTCCTGCAAAACATACACATAAATATTTTAAGAAGTGTGGTCACTTTCCTACTGAGAAAATTTATTTTGGAAGGCAAAAGGAATCAATAGATCTTTCTTACTATTTACTCCACTGTTAATACCTTAGTATATGATGCTGATAATAAGGTTTAGGGAAGGCAAAAGTTGGAAAAAACCTTCTTGTTGATACTAGCTATTGCAAGCAAAGTATAGCTGTCTTAGTTTTAAAATCAAAAGAAAAAAAAAGGCCTTTTATAACTTTGTAACTAACTGTAAAAAAACTAACTGTAACTAACTGTAAAAAGAAGTTTGCATCACTTCGTGGGAATAGGAAAACTTTAAACTAAGCCTGAGAATTGATTAAGCAGTGTTTGAGATTCTTCAGATTTATGTGGAATTTATTTTTTAGCACTGTCAAATATTATTCACTCTGAAAGCGTATTATATACTGCGAAAATGATGTGCCCTTCCTTAGCAGGTCACCGCAGGTGGGCATAAAATCATAGATTGTATATTTTTGATGAGTAATACGAATGCATTCTTTTGTAATTTAATTGCCTTCTTTGTCCACAGTAAGAAAACAGATCCTTTAGATCAAAGTACTAATGAGGGGCTTG